TTGTGAGACAAATCTCCCATATCAAGAATATTAAATTTAGCGTAGCGAGTTTCTAATGTTTCGCCCGTTGCTGTACTCAAATCCCAAAAATCCTCCACCCGTATCTTCTCTTGCACATGCATTCTTATATGAATACAAGTAGTGAATATATGTGTATGTGCCTATGTATAACTAGGTGTGTATGTTTATATGTACATACATATGTATATCGGTTTTAGTAGCTTATGGCCTTAAAAGAATTATATTCAACAATTTTTATTGAGCTTGGGGCCGTTTTTAATGAAAAACTTATTTTGGAAAAGCAACAATAATTAGAAATAATGGTAGAAGTGATAGCTATTGCGGAAATCAGCACATTCCCTCATCAGACGATCCCACTGACTCAGCCAGTTGCATACGCACTGTGCTAAATTCGCCTTGTGAGTTATTGTGAGTTCTTGTTGCTTTTTTCCACTATTTCATTTGTTAAGGCAACTACAATCAAGTGATATCGTCGGTTCGAATCCTACTGAAAGAAGTCTGATGAGGAAATGTGGTGATTTCCGAAATAGCTATCACTTCTACCATTTTTTCAAATTATTGTTGCTTTTCCACAATAAGTTTTTCATTAAAACGGCTTCAAGCTCAATAAAAATTGTTGAATATAATTGTTATAAGGTCAAACAATAACAAAAACAAATAACTGAAGGACGAGCAACCTAAAAGCTAAACATTCTAATAATAGAAATATTAACAAAAACAACAACAAAACAGCCAGAACCAGAAAACCAGTAACCACATGATCAAGTTTAAATAGCACTGGAATTAGCTGCGCTTGATTGTAGTTGGCTTAACAAATGAAATAGTTGAAAAAAGCTCTCCAACCATCTTACCTGCAGCTGACACTAACAAACATTTAGATATCATGCCTGGTTGTATTCTGAATACTAAATCAAACAAAAGAGGAGGAGCTAAAGAAGATAGAAAAAGGCCCGTCCTGGTCAGGTGGAGTCACCCACCCCTTCTACATTTTTTTTCTGTAGCCTTGGACCCTGCCGTGACTCCAACTATTGGCAGAGTCCCCTAAGCCTGACCGGTTTCCGTCTGTCTAGCGTCCAGTCATGTCCCTGTCAGCCTAGTCATTGCGTCGCTCCACCCATTTCCCCTCTTGTTGCAACCACTGCAACACCCACACCAAACAACTACAAAATTAGCAAATAATTTTTTTTTCTATTACTGATTTACATGCTCTTTATTATAAAAAACTTACAAACTCTATTACCTAACTATAAATCCAAATCTTGCTATAGTTCCTATTTCCACTAATTTGAGTTTAATATTTATAATAAAAACTATACCAACTAACCGTATCACTATATTTAAAAATTCACCCTCTATATGAACATACGTATATTCCAATCCAACAATTTCTTTAACAAAATTCAATTCCTTCATGTAACTAATTATCCACAAGGATACTTAAAATCATACTGGTAGTAATAACAAAAAATTCAACTTCAATAAAAAAAACTTCCGAATAACCTAATTCGTATATGTACATATGTGTTTATGAGGAAATCAGTAAATGTGACAATAAAAAAAGGCAAAGCAAAAAAAAATAATAACAATAAATTAAAATGGTACACAAGATAAACATATAGGTTGTGAGACAAATCTCCCATATCAAGAATATTAAATTTAGCGTAGCGAGTTTCTAATGTTTCGCCCGTTGCTGTACTCAAATCCCAAAAATCCTCCACCCGTATCTTCTCTTGCACATGCATTCTTATATGAATACAAGTAGTGAATATATGTGTATGTGCCTATGTATAACTAGGTGTGTATGTTTATATGTACATACANTCAAACAATAACAAAAACAAATAACTGAAGGACGAGCAACCTAAAAGCTAAACATTCTAATAATAGAAATATTAACAAAAACCAACAAAACCAATAACCACATGATCAAGTTTAAATAGCACTGGAATTAGCTGCGCTTGATTGTAATTGGCTTAACAAATGAAATAGTGGAAAGAAGCAAAAAGGAACTAAAACTGTTTTTGATTTTGTCGTTAATTTTTTTTGTTTAAACAGCCTTATTTAAGAAAAATTGGGACAAAAAAACAATAAATTTTTTTGCATATTTTGCCGTTTGGCTTGCTTTGTGCACTAAAACTATTGATTTTGTGGTTTAATTTATTTTTTTCTTAAACCGCCTTTAAAAAAAATAGGAACTTGGAAATCGGCTTAAAAATAGGTTAAAAACAATAATTTGTTTGTTGCATAATTTGCCGTTTGGTTTGTTTTTTGCATTAAAACTATTTTCGATTTTGTCGTTTAATTCTTTGTTTGTGTAAACAGCCTTGTTAAAAAAGAGGGACTTGGAAAGCGGTTTAAAAATTGGTTAAAAATAATAAAAAAAAAATTATTTTTTTGTTGCATAATTTGCCGTTTGGCTTGGTTTGTGCATTAAACCTCTTTTTGATTTTTCTATTTTCTTATCATTCTTTTCTTCTAAAAATTATTGAACAGTGAAAAAATGGCAAAAAAATTTTTTTTTTTAATATAAAAAGGCAAGTTTTTTTTTTTCAAAAGTAAACTAGCTCATCCCGGAACGGCAAGAAACGGCAAATTTGAATATAAAGCCTGGTCTTTTGTCTTAGATTTGGAGGGGTGCTTCGCTATCTTTATATAAAGTTAGCAAAACACCTTATATCTATAAAAAAAAATACAAGAGCGACAAAATTGTTTTTCCACAATTAATTAACGGCAAAAAACGGCAAATTCATGGGTATATGCGACATTTTTTTCTTTATGTTGTTTCACTAATTTTATACACATGTGGAATCTGTATAAAAGTATGAAGAGCAATTAATTTTTTGCGTTAATTCTACAAAGAGCACTGCAGCAGTGACTACTTTATCGGTGCTAAAATATTTATACATTCTTCGCCTTCTGTATTCACGGATTTTGCATAAACTACTGCTTCATAAGCTTTCATAGATGCATCACAGAATCCATGTAACTCGATGATTGAAGGATTGGTATTTTAATTTGGGTAAAGAGAGATAGCCCTTCTTTAATTTTCTGTCATTGGTTAATTATTTCACTAGAAGGCTTTTCGTCTCAATCTGTTTTTGATTTCCACAGTTATTGAAGTAAGATTTTTGTAGTTACTGTTACTGAGTTAATTAGATCGAACGGATCAAACAATTTTGAGATGTCTGATAAAATATTTCTTTTTGTGATTGTATTTTTGCAGCTCCAGCTACATTTAGTACAAAATTGGTCATCAAATGGAGTCCAAGTTACCCCTAAAGCTTTCACGTCGTTAGACATTTCGTTATTTAACTCAAAGTGACTTTCTCCGTAATCAATGTGAACACTTTTTAGGATTTCTATGCCATTAGCACACCATTTTCTTAGATTAAATGCATACTTTAGCAATACTTTTTAATATTTACGTCTTTATTTTCGATGGATTCACTTTTCCTAAATTTCTTTAATTGGGCCATTTATGACTTTGTCTGAATGAGTAACGACGCCACAATGAACTAAACTTGATTTTTTATTGGCTGATCCAAATATTAGCCATTCCAAAGGCTTGTTTTCACTATGTCAAATTCAATGGCATTTGTCGTCAAATAAGTGAAAACACTTTGTCAAATGAGATTAAAAAGCGGTATATTGATTGATTTCGATCAGGAGAGATCTTTAGTCGTGTACATGCGCTGCTATATCGGCTATCTGTCTGTTCTTGGCCGATAAATTAATCGGTAAAGATATGGGTAAAGGAGATAAAGTTGTGTCAAAATATGTCCGACAAATTTTTAGCGTCAAAATATGACATAGTAAAAACCAGCCTTAAGACGCTATTTTAGAAGCGATAGTTTTCATTTCCAACCATAATTTTCTCCTCCTTTAATAAAGAAAAGAATAAATCGGCACCTAGTAGTATGTCAGTTTTACCTGTATTGGCGAATGTAGGATCTGCAAGCCGAGTTTTAATTGGAAATTTAGTTATGTTTATAGGTTCTGAAGGAACCTGTGAAACTATGTTTTGTATTACAAATGTATCAATAGCTGTTTCAAAATTATGAATTAAATAAAGATTATATGCGGATTTATCGTTTCATTTGTATTAGTTTTATTTTGTCCAATGCCTCCAATAGTAAGTGACTCTTTTCTTAAGCTAAGTTTAAGCTTATTTCTGAGTTCTTTTGTTATTAAGTGCACTTGTGATCCAGTATCGAGTAAAGCGCGCGCCCTTAGAACTTTTCCATCACGCGCTTTAATATAATATATAAAATAATAAGTAAACAATATTTATTTTTTGTCTCATCCGCTTTAGATTTCACAATCACACTTTTTGCTTTTGGTTGCTTCTCTTCTTCTTTGTGAAGAATAAAATGATGGCTACCATTACAATTTCTGCAATTAATGCTCTTACATTCTTTAGAACTATACGCTGCCTTCAAATATTTGCTGCATAATTTATTTCGTATTATTTTGGCCCACCATTCTTGTGTATTAAGAGCCCTAAATTTCTGGCAATAAAAAACAGGGTGAGAAAAGTTGCACCCCAGAAGCACTTTTTAAGCACTTTATGCGGTGATAACACCGAACCTTGTGCTGCTTCCAATGCGTTTCCTTCATAACTCAGAAATTTTTGTAGTGAATCAAGGTCTGGTATTTCTTTCGAATTCGTTAAGGAATTCTCATACCATATGTATGCTTTCAGAAAGCTTTTCTTGAAACGATTGCACACTGCAGGCAGTCTCAACCACTACTGGTGCATATAAAATATTTTTAAAATATCAGGCATGTTCTGCAAATCGTTTTCGGCCAAAATTTTAGATTTTTCCGTTTTTAAATCGTATGACACGTTCTGTAAATCGTTCCGTTTTTGCTTTTTCGAACATCACCAAATCGTTTTGTCACCCTGTTCTGAAAATCGGAATCGTTGGAATTTTACCGTTTTATAATCGGCAGGGCGGACGCTAGCGGTTTAAAAGTTTATTGCGTTTTATGTGAATAATACGTTTAACAATGTAAGTATGAAATTGTAAAAATTGTGGTTATTTGTAAATAAATAATACTTTTAATCCTATTTTAGGGGAAAACATAAGAATTCGAAGCAAGAGTTGATTTTTGTCCAATTCATGGAAGAAAATCCAGACCTGGCAAAAAATTTTGTTAAGGGCGATCGAGTAATTGCCGAAGAAAAATGGAAAGAGTTAACCACGTTACTCAATGCTGAAGGTCCACCCCAGAAGGATGTTAATGGATGGAAGAAAGTTAGTTACACTTTATAAATTTTCCTAGTTCATACTCTTTTAACAGTTTCAATTTTGTACAGATATGGTCTGACTGGAAAGGTTGCATTAAAAAAAAGGTGGCCCATAATAAGATGGAAACAAGAGCAACAGGAGGAGGCCCCTTTAATCAATATATCTTGTCCCAAAATGAGGAATCCGTTGCCAGAATTTGCGGAATTTTTGCGGCTGTAGAGGGAATAGCGCAAGCCAGAACTTTCGGCACAGAAAGTGAAACAAACAACCTAAGCGTCCGTGATTCCGATGAAGACGAACGTCCACAGACAAGTAGGGACGCCATCAGTACAAGACCAGCAAAAAGAAACAGGGATTCAGACACGCAGGACTGCCTTCAATCGTGTATGAAAACTCAAGCAAAAGAAATGAAAACCATTTCAGCGACATTAGGCGAAATGTGTGAAAATCAAAACAAAATTGCAAAAACAGACGAAGAAAAGAAAAATTATATTGAACGGATTTGTAACTTGGTTGAGACACAAAATCAGCTTCTAGAGGAACAAAATCATTTACTGAGACTTGACTTGGAGGAAAAAAAGAGACACCACATTAAGATGGAGGACTTGACACAAGAAAAAGTAAAAATAAAATTGAAGATGTTTGAGCTAGAAGCATCAATGCTATGAATGTACACAAAAATATATATGTACATACATACATGAATAAAATTTATTTTACATTATATGAATTCTACGAGTAAATAAAGTTTAAGTATTACAATATTAAATTATTAGCGACAGAGTCTCTTAAATTTCGACCAGCATTATTTAAATTTGTGTTTTCTTCAAGCTCAGCCATTTCCTCGTCGATTTCTGCAGGTTCTGCTGCGGTTTCTGGGTCCTCAATACCTTCCATTTGATAATGCCTACAAATGTTATGTAGCGCGCAACAAACATTTATTTTCTGCACTACTTTTTGTGGAGCATAAGGTAATGTGGATTTTAAACACCTGAACCGGCTCTTAAGAACTCCTATAACTCGCTCTATAATGTTACGTGCCTTAGAATGTTGACGGTTAAACCTATGCTCTGGTGATCCTGGGTTGGGATTTCTATATGGGGTCAACAAAAATGGTTCTATACCAAATCGGGAATCACCCAGTAACCAAGATCCACGGTTACCAGCTTCGTACTTTGAGAGGTAATGTTGCTTTGCACTGCTCATATTGAAAACAAACGCATCATGACTTGAGCCAGGCTTGCTTGCATCCACTGCTCGTATAACCATATCGTAATCACAAATCTGTAAATATGAAAAGGGGTTATTCAAACGTTCGCAAATGCTATATCATTTCGTACTTACAATCATTGTATTTATGCTGAAGAAACCTTTTCTATTAAAAAAAAGATGTTCATTCTGCAAGGGTTTTACTAAAGCTATATGAGTCCCGTCAATACACCCAATTACTCCTGGAATTCCAAACTTTTGCACAAAATGTAATTTTGATTTTCTTGAATCCTCCTCGGACATATCCAACTTAATCCACTTAGGGCAAAGCACAGTTTCTAAAGCATTAATAACTTCTGACAATATTTTTGAAACTGTGCTTCTCCCCAAAGCAATCTCAGTATCTTTGCCGATAGACCGTTGATACGAGCCTTCCGCAAAGAACATAAGGCTTGCTGATAATTTGAGTGGTAATGGTATGGATGCTTCTTTGACTAAAGGCGTTATTTCGTTTAGTATTTCTAAGAAAGCACTCTTGCTTAACCGATAGCTCGCAACAAACCTAAAAACTAATAAAATTGTTGTCTGTAAAATACAAAACTGATTGTTCAAAACTAACATTGAACCCGGTACACTAAGAGGGTTAGATTCATCTCTTAAACGCCGTCTGTTGATTCTGTTTTGATAATGTCGCTCCCTTTCATTCAAAATATAAGCAGCCATAAAAAACATTTTAATTTTTATTCAAAATTCCCTTGAAAATTAAATTTTTATATAGTTTGTACCAACGGCCTCTTTTGTCATAAGGTTGGTTTAATTGACAAAATGAAATCAGCTGTTTCGAACTTAGTTCGAATTCTAATGAAATCGAACGAATTGTAGAACACCCAAAACAAAATCGCACGAATTGTCATTTCGGTTCCGATTTCAAGTCGTACGATTTTCAGAACATGCCTGTATGTATTTGCCAGCAATCTTTTGTTCGTATATTTTTCGTTAAGTTCCAGGCTACACTGAAATTGGTTAAAGTTGATAGCAAATTCGCAATACAGCTTACTGCTGAGCCCTTCAGCTTTGTTTTCAAAATACACATTTTATGAGACTACTAATTGTTCAAATAGTTTTTTAAACGTTTGCCAATTTGCATAGTCACCAGAAAAAAGTGTATATCAATTTGTGGCAGAAGATATTGAGCACTTGTATTCTCATTTTTATTTTTTCTTGCCAACTCATCGAAATTGTCTTTTAATTCATAGAATTTACAGATCAGTTCGTTTTCTTCAAACTGGTTCAGATAAGATCTGCTTCATTTGAAATTTGGCAGCAATATACATAGCATAACTTTGTTACCGACTACTCGATCAGCCGTTTATTTAGTGTGCTGATTTTGCTATCGTTGTTTTTTATTACAGTTAATTTTCATATGCGTAACTTTAAAAATGAGTGATGTGGCGAGCAAAGAACTTCAGCAAAGAAATTTGATTTTGGCCTAATTCAAGCAAAATCCACACATCTCCCAATGTCGGTTAGTAAAATTGCTGAAAATTGGAGGGTCGACGGTACAAAATGTATTGTCAAATATCAAGAAAAATTACAGCATTGAGAGAAATGCGGAATCTGGCGGAAAATCAGGCACTATAAATCAAATAGTGCAGAAGGATGTTCCAGGACTTTGAAAAGGAATCGGAATCTCTCTGAACGTGTTGTTACACCTGGAGTGTTGTTCTGAGAGCCTGTATTGTTTTGGCCTGATTTGGCAACAAGCCATTGTGCAAAAAAAAGCGCAAGAGTTTTATACACAAAATGGAACCAGCATTGTACTAAAAGAGGCCAATCCTCCGAATTGCCCAGAGCTCCAAACGATCGAGCGTTATTGAGCCTATATGAAATCAAAATTAAAAATAAACAAAATGCAAAATTCAAGAATAACGCAGTTCCGCAGAATGTGCCGAAAACAGGCTCAATCGATCAACGAAAGGGATATCCAAGTATTAATGGCGGGTGCCATCTCTAAAGTACGGGTATTTTGGCGTGGAAATTAATTCTAATAATATTTGTAAATCTTTCATCTAAATAGAAATACAAGAAGGTTCTAAAAAAGTTTCGACTGAATTATTCATATTTCAATTATGTTTTTTGTTACTTAATACCTGCCAGATTTCAACTGAAGCAGTTCTTATTCTAACACGACATCTTTCGCATTTTAAAGAGTTTATTCCGTGCTTTCCAAGGAAATCTCACCTAGTTTGCAGGCTTTAACCTTCTTTTCTAAATGAATAAGTAGAAATTAAAGCCCGCGTACTAAGCCAGGTTTGGTTTCTTCTCCTTTTATTTTAGAGGACTTATTTAATTTATTTATTAACTCACTAACCTTTGAAAATAGCGTGGGCCGAAAATCCGCTTTTTTTAGAAATTTTATTGGTAATAGCAAAAATATGGTTCATTATGCTCTAAAAAAATCTGTGTGTGAGGCTCGCTCAAGTCCATCAAAGTTCAAGTACTAAAAAAATTGGTCTCTTGGATAACTTCGATTCTGTACAAAAAGGGTTCATATACCAAATTGTGTAGGACTAATACTATCGAAGATTATTGCAGTTTTAGTAAAAAATGTATTAATTAATTTATTTATTAACTTTTATTTTTTGAGCATATTCAACTTTGATGGACTTGGGCAAGCCTAGGATATTGACCAAAAAATTCCAAATTTCACACAAATTTTTTTTTTTTAAGTATAATGAGCCATATTTTTGCTATTACCAATCAAAATTCTAAAAAAAAGCGGATTTTCGGCCCACGCTATTGCGTACGCTGTTGTGTACAGCGTACTTACTTTACCAGCGACGTCATCCTTCACGTATCCCGATTTCTTCATGCTGGGGTCCTTCATTAGTTCCTGGTGGGCGCTGCTGAATGAGTTCCACAACTCTGCCAGGCTATTTCAACTTTGTTGAATTGTGCCGGGTACAACGTGCACCGTCGAGATCGCGAGCGAGATAATGGTGGTGGCTTAGCGTTCATCACGCACCACACCGTGCAGTATCGTCTTATCGAAGCAGACATCGACCGCAGGGATACCACCCTAGAATGTCAGGGCATCGCTATCCGGTCAGGCGATGTCGAGCTCGAAATATTTAACATATACATACCCCCTGTCACCTGCTGCCCGGCAGGATATCACCCTGATATAGGTGCGCTCCTCAGAGGTGAAAACCGTATGGTAGTAGGTGACTTTAATGCGCACCACGATCTTTGGCACTCAAGCCTGTCAAACGATCGTAGGGGAACAGACTTGGCTGAGCAGATAGACGATTCGACATTCTGCACAATGAACGACGACGCACCCACCAGGATTATGGGTAACTGCAGTAGCTCGCCAGACATCACAATAGTCAGCGCTGGTCTGATAAACAGCATAACGTGGCGACCTATGCTGACTCTAGCATCAGACCATCTACCCATAGTCATCTCGATTGATAAACCAACCGACTTTGCCTCCGCCAAACACCGGACCTATATCAACTTTTCTAAAGCTGATTGGAAAGGTTACGCGGAGTTTACCGAAAACACCTTCACAGCGCTCCCCACACCAACCGACGTCCATCTCGGTGAACGTAAGTTCCGCAGGGCTATCACTGCTGCTGCAGCTCGCTTCATACCGGCAGGATGTATATCGGACCCACGTCCAAACTTCCCTGCCGAAGCGGCTGTTCTAGCCGATGAGCGTGATAGCCTTCGTCAGGCCGATCCCGGAGATCCCCGTATCAGGGATCTCAACGCGGAGATTCGGCAACTTGTAAACGTACATAAGCGGAAGAAGTGGGAGGAGCATCTGAAGACTTGTAATTTCACCTCTGGTGTGAGCAAGCTTTGGTCAACCGTGAGGTCATTGTCTAATCCGACGAAGCACGACGACAGAGTCGAAATTTCCTTCGGCGACCATGCTTCGTCGGACCCGGAGCGATGCGCGAGCTATTTTAGCCGGCAGTTCATACTGCATCCTCCGGTGGACAAAGCCAAGCGTCGAGTGACCAGAAGGCTGCACAAACTGCCAACAACTTGTGCCCCCCTTGCTTTCACTTGCGGTGAAGTTCAGGTGGCCATCGGGAAGGCGAAAGCCTCCAAAGCCATGGGTCCCGACGGAATATGCATGCTGATGCTGAAAAATTTGGGTCCTGCGGGGGTAGCGTACCTAACGGAGGTCCTCAACTTGTCAATGGCCACTCTCATCATCCCAGACATCTGGAAGGTGGGGAGAGTGGTCCCACTGCTCAAACCGGGGAAACCTGCCAACAAAGGAGATTCGTATCGTCCGATTACACTCCTTTCCCCGGTAGCGAAGACACTCGAGGCCTTGCTACTCCCGTACTTCACAAACCACCTGACCCCAGCGAAGCATCAGCATGGTTTCCGTAAAGTGCACAGTACAACAACAGCACTTAACGCCATAAACACTCAGATAACTCGTGGCCTTAACCGTAACCGTCCCTGTGAGAGAACGATTCTAGTAGCGTTGGACTTGTCAAAGGCGTTTGACACCGTCTGCCATTCCACGCTACTAGAAGATATAGAGGCCTCCTCTCTCCCACAGAGGCTCAAACGGTGGTCGGCAAATTATCTGAGTGGTCGACATTCGTCGGTAACGTTTAGAGACAAAACGAGTAAGCAGCGAAAAATAAAACAGGGGGTTCCTCAGGGTGGTGTCCTTTCCCCGCTACTGTTTAACTTTTACATTTCAAAGCTCCCTCAACCACCAGAGGGAGTCTCGATTGTCTCCTATGCCGACGACTGCTCGATCATGGCGACTGGGAATGGAATTGATGACCTGTGTTTGAAAGTAAACGGCTATCTCTCCGAACTTTCTCGCTTCTTCACTGCAAAGTGTCTAGCCCTCTCCCCTACGAAATCCTCCGCGACCCTGTTCACAACCTGGACGAAGGAGGTCAGGCTACCGCTGGGAATTCACGTCGATGACACACCAATTCCGACGGTGAATAACCCCAAAATACTCGGAGTAACATTCGACAGCCTGCTCTCCTTCTCTGCGCACTCAACCGCTATTGTCAATAAAGTACAGAGCCGCAACAAGGTCCTCAAGTCGCTAGCCGGCAGTACTTGGGGCAAAGACAAAGAAACGTTGCTGGCAACATACAAGGCAATAGGCCGGCCGGTTTTGAACTACGCAGCGCCAGTGTGGTCGCCGGGGACTAGTAGGACGCAGTGGACGAAGCTACAGACTGCACAGAACACCGCACTCAGGACAGCGACAGGATGCCTCCTGATGTCGCCCGAACACCATCTCCACGGCGAGGCGCAAATGCTCCCCGTAAAGGAGCACAACATAATGCTCTGCAAGCAGTTCCTGATCGGGAGCCACAGAAGTGGCCACCCAAACAGACAGCTGCTTGCAGAGGAGCCCTCGCCTAGGCACGTCAGGAGGCATCTATATGAACTGACGGACGAAGTCCAGAGGTTCATCAAGCAACCTCTGGACCCGTCAGCTTACCGACTGGCCCTGAACGGCATTCACAGGGAGTGAGTCTCGAGTTATATAGACTCTAGACCTGTGAATGCCGTTCCAGGCGTACCGCCCCGGACATAGACGAGACGGAGCTTCATCTGCCTCGGGAGACACGAACGACAATAGCCCAACTTCGCTCTGGCTACTGCAGCAGGTTAAACTCCTACCTGAGTAGATTGAATGAGGATGTGCCAAATGAGTGTCCGGCATGCGGAGAGACCCCACATGACTCAAAACATCTCTTCGCATGCCCGGAAAACCCGACAACCCTAACGGCTTTGTCCTTGTGGACCAACCCAACAGAAGCAGCACGCTTCCTAGGGCTGCCGTTAGTGGAACTTGACGACAACGACTGAGATACCAACCGACCTGGGCGGGGTTGTTGTAGCCGCTACAACAACAACAACAACACCTGTCAAAAAAGTTCAATCCCCTAAACGAAGAGCTTTTGAAACGATTACCTAGTCAATTAAATACTTTTAAAAAAGCTTTGATTTTTTCACAAGAAAAGTGTGTGAATCCCAAGAGGGCGAGTTTCAGGGATCTGCCAATTCACTATTTGACTTATAAGGAAAGAAAAGCAGCGGAAACTGAATATTTAAATCTTTTAACTTTCCCATGGAATAACTTTTCTCAGAACCTTTACATCCGACTTTGAAGAATTTTGGATAATAGCTTACGGAGTGAAAACCACAACAGGCAACAAAATATTTGGAAATATAAGTAAATTCATATTATTATCCTTGCCGCACTCACATGCTTTGTTGAGTGCGTTTTTTCCGTAATCAATTCAACAAAAACTAAGATTCTAAATAGGATGAGGTTGGAAAGCCATATTTCAATAGTGCGAATAAAGTGTTATACGAAGGTGAATACTTTCTGCTGCAAAACGTTTTCAATATCAAACAGTATGCTATCAAGGTTGAATAGATCAATATATGACAACAACAGAAATGTAAATCATTCAGATTGTGGAAATAGCTGATCTCGTCTTATTTAGGTTTTTATTTAATTTTAAAAGCGGATTGTGCAATTAACCAATTAATTTGAGTTACAATAAATTTAATAATTGCGTAGTCCTATTGCCAAATATGTTGAAATAAATATTTTTAAAAAGAATGCGTTTGTTTAAAGAAAATTGTTTGTACATCACTATTATATATGTGATTTGTGTTATTTATTATTACCGTCTGAAGGTATTATATTCGTTTTTAGTTTTAAAACTATATTATAACAAGATCTTACTTATAAAATAAAAGATTTGTTAAATCGATTTCATGAATTTTATTTTAAAAAAATAATTGCTGATTTTTGGCGATTTTTTTCAGAAATTTCGCTTTTTTAAAACAATCTGGACACCCGGACCTACGTAAATATGTATATACATACATACATACACATGTATATACATAACAGTGGTTAAAAAAAATTTTTTTGGAAAGTCATAAACGCTGACTCAAATTATTGTTATTTGTGATAAAAAAAGAGAAACGTGTTTTTTTATTTTGAAAAAAAAAGTTTTCTTAGAGGTCGCGCTGGTCGGTTTTTATAAAAACGCTGATGTTATAAATTTTTTTTATTTTATTGACATGTTAAAATGCAGCTAAAAATGTGGTTTTTACATATACTTAATTACTCTAGTATTATTGGGGAACATTCCCTTAATTACATACCTGTCTTGGGCAGTAAGAATGGGCCCAGTGCCCGAAAATATTCTCTCGGAAAGAGACTAGTAAAATTAAAACGTTGATACTGAACGACAGTTAGAAAGGGCCTTGTTCCCGAAAATATGCTCTCGAAAAGACACCAGTAAAATTAAAACGTTGATACTGAACGATTTACGCATTGTCATGGGTTGAAATTTGTTACCAGGGAGTTTCTGGGGTTGCTAATTAGAATCTGAAGTCAGTTTTTTCAAAATCGAAATGGCGGATCCAAAATGGCGAACAATTTAAAAAAAAAATGATGGGATTTGTTCGAAACCCGGCACTCGACAGGTTTTGGGGTCGCCGATTACGATTCTAAAGTCAATTTCTTTTAATTCAAAATGGCGGGTCCAATATGGCGATCAAATTAAAAAAATTATGAATCTGATGTCAGATTTTCAAATTTCAAAATGGCGGTTAAGAGATTCAAACAAATCCAATCATTTTTTTAAGTTGGTCGCCATTTTGGATCCACCATTTTGAATTTTAAAAAACTGACACCAGATTCATAATCCGCAAGCTCAGAAACCCACTGAAAAAGAGTTTCAACCCTTAACAATGCTTAAAACGTTCAATACCAACGTTTTAATTTTAGTATTTTTTTTTTATTTGATCGCCATATTGGATCCGTCACTTCGAATTCAAAAAATTACTTCAGGTTCGCAATCGGCGACCCCAAAAACTCTCGAGTGCCGCGTTTCGAACAAATCCAATCATTAAAAAAAAATGTATCTCCATTTAATAATAATGATAATAAATTGGCGCTTACACATATGTCAGTGTTTCGCCGAGCTTCTCCTCCGACTTGTGGCGTGCGCCTTGATGTTGTCACACAAAGCAGAGGGACCTACAGTTTTACGCCGACTCCGAACGGCGATTGTATTTTTATGAGAAGCTGTTTTTCCTGGCAGAAATACAATCGGAGGCTTGCCTTTGCCTGCCGAGGGACGACCGCTGTTAAGAAAAAACCTTTTTCTATATTTTTTGGGATGTTGCTTTGACCAGGGCTTGAACCCAGGTGCTGATGTGTGAAAGCGCGCACTGCTTACCACTACACCACAGGGGCTGCTGGCTCCATTTGGGATCCGCTATTTTGAATTTTGAAAAATTGACTTCAGATTCCTAATTAGCAACCCCAGAAACCCCCTGGTAACAAGTTTCAACCCATGACAATGCGTAAATCGTTCAGTATCAACGTTTTCATTTTACTAGTGTCTTTTCGAGAGCATATTTTCGGGAACTAGGCCCATTCTAACTGTCTAAGACAGGTATGTAATTATGGGAATGTTCCCCAATAATACCAGAGTAAATAAATGTTAAAAACACATTTTTAGCTGCATTTTAACATGTCACGAAAATAAAAAAAATTGAGAACATCAGCGTTTTTATAAAACACCGACCAGCCCGACCTTTAAAAAAACTATCTTTTTAAATAAAAAAACTACGTGTCTCTCTTTTGATCACAAATAACAATATTCTGATGTAGCGTTTATGAATTTCCAAAAAGACTGTTTTTATGAACCACTCTAATATACATACATACACGCATCTGCTGCCGTCGAGAGCTGTTCGGAACTCTGAACAGGGATGAAGGTGTTTTCTAATTTGACAGTCTACCCTTCCTACTTTAAGCTTCCCTTTTTCGAGTAACTTTCTAGCCATATCCACTGGAAGCTTGATCAACGCCGTTTGTGTATCCCTGTACGACTTTCTCAAGCTCTTTACAACAGAGATTGTTACGTCATTAACAACTTAATAGGCCTGCTTGAACTGCACTGAGAATCTCCTACTTAGTGGTTATTTCGTCCAGATCTTTACATTCGAAGAGTCTCCTGAGTTAAAATCTTTACATTAGCTTCGTCACCAAGGCATTTATTCAGTAGACATTTCTGAACCATTCAGTTGCAATAGCATTTCGACATTTTTGGTCTTACGAATGCGAGAAACCTTATTACCTAGGTCGTTTAGGGTGGTATCATATTCATTCTGCGCAAGATCTCCGCGTAAGAAAGGACGTAATTCTTTCAGATCAGTATAGCATCTGGTTTTGGTTTGGGGTTTTCAAGGGTCTGGTATTGGCTTTAGTACCACCTAGTATTTGCCAATCTCCAAAAAAGCTGTTATTGGCAGTATTTTTCTCATTGGGAGGGTCATCTCGAGTATGAGTGTGAGTGAGATTAACTCATCTATTAGCGTGCCTAATGTTGAGTGCCTCTCTTTCGCTATTCTGCTGATCAGACTGAGACTCAGCATTGCTTGACGGCGTGGTTTGAGCGCCTAAGCTGTCAGTAGGCTGTGTAGCTTTGTTGGGCATGGGTCATTGGCGCATGTTTGGTATGACGTTTGAGTCAGCTGCTGGTGATGTTACCAGAAAGTCACTTGCTTCCTCTGGGGCGACAGGGGTGTTTTGGCGGAATTGGAGAACGGGTTGATTAAACCGTCATAAATAGTTCTGCTTCTTGTTTGTGAGTGTGCCAGACGATTTTATTCTAACCGACACATCCACCGCACATATTTGAGGATGATAATAAATTGGCTGGAAATTGCAAACGCCTCAAATATTCCTCAACTTGCAAACTCGCCACAAGTGGAACGTAGGCGTTAGTGGATAGTGTGGTCTCTCTCAGCTGTGTTTGTGCTACTTTGCCTATTCCTTTTTCGTGACTCTTTCGCCAGTGGAAACTTATTTTCAAGAATTAATAATTGGTTTACTCACTTGATACAGTGGGGATGCGAATATTTTCTTCGCTTTGCTGTAGCTTATAATATTATTAGCTCTTTAAATACTTTGGGTGCTTGAGATTTCAGTATCTCTCGCAGTATACACTATGGATATGGAGCACTTGAAAAACACGTCTTCACTTGTTCAATATACAAATGTATATTAATATTACCAAAATTTGTACATATGAATGTATAAATTACTTACATACATTTGTACATATGTATGTATGTATAAATGCATTTAGTTCACCTATTGTGCCGCTACTACTTACATATGGTCAACATTTTTGTCTTTAACGTTACAGTCGCACGTATATTTCTGCTAATATTTCTGAAACGTTGTGTAAAACCCGAAAGTTTTTGATTTATCCTGGTAATAAACCTCATAAGCCACATTTTATATGCAGACACTTGTTTCCTATCTTTTGTTGTTTTAAAGATAAAAGCAGTTTTAAATGGTCTTTAACGTTACATTTCTTGGAAGTGAGTTATGTGATAACGTCACACGTACGGTTAACTTAGCGAATCCTGCAAAGTTAAAAATTAAACCAAGGTATTTTAATAAAGATCAAGGTTCAAAGAAACTATAAAAAACATTAACTTTTGGGAAAAATATTTTTTGAACTGATCTAAAAATCAAAATACCTACATAAATCTTTAACGTTACCTTGCGATTTTATTGGGAATATGGTAAATATAGATATAGAAAAAAAAGTGGAAATTTTTTAAAATATGTTAGCTCAAAATCATATACATACTGATTCAGTAGATAATATCTATCTCAATATTTGTCCAATAACACTGTGCAACAGCCGAAATTAACATTGACTGAAAGTACTTTTTTTGAATACGCTAAATCCGAATCTGGCAACAAAAGTATTCCATCACGTCACAATTTTGAAAGAATGGGTTCGAAACCTCAAAAATCACCATGTAAAGCAAGTTTGAAAACTTGTGCTGGTCGAATCTGACGTGCTGAAGAGTTTTCAAAGAGAAACTAATTACATCTTTCGGTTGACGTGTCAAAAATTACTATTTTTTCGTCCTTGACTTGACTTTGATGTGATAAAGTAATGTTTCGAACATGATTCCCACTTTTAAATACATCTGAAGTATGCCACTTCTTCGGTCATGATTTGTGATTGTGTACGATGCCATCTACCTAGCCACAGTGCTGTGGCTCCAATAAAATTTGAGCTGAAATACAATTATGAACGGATTTAAATGAAAACTTTTCCTAGTGAACTTGAGGACGCTCAATTTAAAAACGCAACTTGTTTTTGATACCAAAATTTGGATTCTTGCTGCATTTACGTAGGTATTTACATATAGTTCATTCCATTTTCAAAAGTGAGGTATCAGTTTACATGGATCGGTCTGTAGATGTGCAGTAAAGTTTTATTTTTTTTTAAGCGGTTGCCACCTGTTAAAAAAGTTTAATTAAAATATGTATATTAAGTTAAATGAATTAGATATTACAATATGGGTATCAATCGACATGGTTTTGAAAATACTTTACTTCTAAACTACACGTATAAGGGTGCTACCTCTTTACCCTAGACGTACATACATTCTTCGTCAATTCGACGAGCCGACAACGTGTATTGTTTACGTATACAAAGATAAGAATGTACTCCCAGGGTTAAACAGTTAAATTCAATTTAATTAATGGGTTTGGGTAACTGAAATATTATAATATGTGTGTCAGATCAAAGAACAAATTTAAAATATTTAGCAAAAAATAACTGAAGAATAAACAAATTCCTGAAACCTTAAAGTTAATTAATGAAAGGAGCAAGAAAACATCACTCATTGGCAATCTATGTATTTACATACTGCAATACAATAAAAAATACGATGCCGCAACCCTTTCGTTTGATATAAATATATTATGATTTCATATATAATAATTTTGTATAACTTAATTAAACTCTATTTGAAAACAGTTGGCGACCCTCTTCAAACTGTCGGACTGCCATATATATGGTGATACATATTTCAGTCACCTACTTTCCTAATTTTTTTTTTAAACAGGTAGCAAACCTCCTTCTTCTTCTTCTTTCTACTTTTTTGGCGCTGTAACCGCCTAAGCGATTTTGACGAGTTCAGCAAAGCACTCCAGTCGTTTCTCCTCTGTGCCAACTGACGCCAATTGGAAACGCCAAGTGAAGCCAAGTACTTCTCCACCTGATCTTTCCATCGCAGTGGGGCCTCCCTCTTCCTCTGCTACCACCAGCGGGTTCCGAGTTGAATACTTTCAGAGCTGGAGCGTCGGTGTCCATTCGAACGGCATGACCAAGCCAGCGGAGCCGCTGTCCATATCGTTGTAAAGCTCATACAGCTCATCGTCCATCGTCTGCGGTACTCGCCTCGCCAACACGTAAAGGCCCGTAAATCTTCCGCAAAATCTTTCTCTCAAACACCCCAAGAGCCGCCTCATCGGATGTTGTCATTGTCCATGCTTCTGCACTGAGGGAAAAAAATATTTAAATCATATAGAAACGTAATTGATCTTACTATAAACGTCAACGAAAGTACTGTATATTGGTAAATATTCAATTCAATTACGCGCATACTAAAATGACCGCGTTCGTACTGAAAAAGCATCCGTGAAGTGAATAATCAAGACAAAAACTAAAAAAAAAAAACTATTTACACGTTGCCTGCAGTGGAATTCGAACCCGACCATCTCCGGATACCAACAACTTGTGGAAAGCATCTTTGCTCACTCAGCTACACCCAGGCATATAAATTTGCTTTCAAATGTTGAATATCCATCAACACCACAGCACGCGATTTGTACGGATAAACATGTATGTACTATGTATGCACGATTGAGAGAAATTCTTGAGAATTCTATTCTCATTCTATCATTCTTGCTATGTATGTATGTGTGATTTGCCACGGCTCTCAGAGCGGCGCTCTGCATGCTTGGGATGCGTATGTACACTTACATATATGTACATACTCAGATGCGAACAGTCAACTACGTGCGTAATAAATTTTGTATGAAAACATTATTTTTAAATACGAACATTTTTAAACCATAATCAAATATAAAGTATTCATTTTTACTATGCATTATTTCCCTCAGTGTGCGCCATATACCAACACGGGCATGATGAGTGACTTATAGAGCGTGGTTTTCGTACGTCGAGAGAGGACTTTACTCCTGAATTGCCTACTCAGTCAAAAGTAGCACTTGTTGGCAAGAGTGATTCTACGTTGGATTTCAATGCTGACATTATTATCGGTGTTGATGCTGGTTCCCAAGTAAACGAAATTCTCTACTTTCTCGAAATTGAAACTGTCAACAGTGACGTGGGTGCCAAGGCGCGAATGTGCTTACTGTTTCTTTGATGACAGGAGATACTTCGTCTTGTCCTCGTTTACCACCAGACCCATTCGCTTTGCTTCCCTATTCAACTTGGAAAAGGCAGAACAGACTTCGCGGTTTTTGTTACCGATGATGTCGATGTCGTCGGCATAAGCCAGCAATTGCACGCTGTTGTAGTAAATTGTTCCTGAGAGGTTCAGTTCTGCAGCTCTTATTATCTTCTCCAACATCAGATTAAAGAAGTCACATGAAAGGAAGTCGCCCTGTCTGAAACCCCGTTTTGTGGCGAACGACTCGGAGAGGTCTTTCCCAATTCTGGCGGAGCTGGTGGTATTGCTCAACATCATTTTACACAGCCGTATGAGTTCTGAGGGGATGCCAAATTCAGACATAGCGGCGTATAGGCAACTCCTTTTAGTGCTGTCAAAAGCGGCTTTAAAGTCGACAAATAAGTGGTGAGCGTCGATCATTTTCTCGCAAATCTTTTCCAAGATTTGGCGTATTGTGAATACCTGGTCTATGGATTTGCCAGGTCTAAAGCCACACTGATAAGGCCCAATCAGCGGTTTTGTTGTTTTTCAGCCGCGTTATTGCTATACGTACCTCGTCATGGTCAGGCGGTGGAACGTCGACTCCGTCATCATCGACTGAAGGCTCGGATTCTTCTTCTCCACAATTTTCCGTGCTGCTACCAT